TTGGTGATCTCTTGGACAAATCACCGAAGGTGCCAAGATAGGTTCATCACGAGCAGGAAGGAACAAGGGAAAACAGGAGGTTTTCCCCGTGGACCGACCCGTGACGAGATCCTATTCCCGGGCCCGCAACAGATTCTCTTTCATAAAAAAAAAAAAAGAAAATGTTTGGCAACAAGTGGGTCAGATGGATAAAAGGCTGCATCAGTTCCACCTGGTTTTTGATTCTGTTAAACAGAGAACCAGATGGTTACTTCAGTGCTATCAGGGGTTTAAGGCAAGGCTGCCCTCTCTCCCCTTTACTCTTCACATTGGTAGTCAACATCTTCAGCCATCTGACTGAGAACGCGAGAGATATAGGCTTGCTAAAAGGCTTTGAAGTAGGAAGGGAAGGTGTTCAAGTCTCTCACCTAATGTATGCAGATAGCATAATTTTATTTTTGGTATCTGATTGGGAAAACATCTCCAACCTTAAACAGGTCTTAAGATGTTTTGAGCTGGTGATTTGACTTAAAATTAACCTCTCCAAGAGAAGTATTGTGGGAATAAATGTGGATGAGCCCCTCCTGGACAGGTACAAGGAGCTGTTGGGTAGTAGAGTGGAAAGATTCCCCATTTCCTACTTGGGAATGCCTCTCGGTGGGAACCTGAGAAACCAAAATTTTTGGGACCCAGTGGTGAAGTGTGAGAAAAAATTGGCTACCTGGAAGATGGTGACAAGAGGAGTCAAATCCTCCCAACCTACTTCCTATCGGTCTTTCAGGTCCCAGGTAAAATAAAAAACAAGTTGGAGAAACTTCAGTGGGATTTCTTGTGGGATGGAGGTGGTGACAAGAGGAGTCAAAGTCACTTAGTTTGCTGGAGGCAGGTTTCTAGGCCAAAGAAGGTCGGTGGACAAGGTATAGGTCACATCAAGGAAAGGAACACTGCCCTCCTTGGAAATGGTTGTGGAGATATCCTCTCGAGCTTGAAGCTACATGGACGACAATCGTTAACAGAAAGTATGGGAGGGATGCCAATGGTTGGGACAGCAAGGTCCACTTGACCCGGGTAAAAGCAACTAATCCCTGGAAAGGTATTTCTTCTACCTACTCTCTTCATTGCTCTTGTTAGATATCAGGTGGGAAATGATAACAAAATTAAGTTTTGGACTGACATTTGGTGGGGGGGAAAACACCCTTGCACTCTCTTTCCCCAGAATCTTTAACCTCTCCTGGTCCCAAGAAGCCACAGTTTCCACTTGCCTCAGCTATTCCCCTTCAGGAACTTATTGGAACTTAAACCTCAGAAGGCCCCTGAGAGAGGTAGAACTTGCAGAAATAACAGACCTTGTAAACTCTCTAAATGAGGCCTATATCTCCCCCACTACCCCTGATCTTTGGTTTTGGAAACCTAGCCCAAATAGCAAGTTCACTACCAACTCCTATTTTCAAGGCTTTAGTTTCGGATGGCCAGGACACCACCTTCCCAGTCAGGAAGGTTTGGTGTTCTCATATTCCTCCTAGAGTCTCCTTTTTCGTTTGGGAGGCTTGTTTAAGAAAACTAAACACTTGCAATGTGTTACAGAAGAAGCTCAGAGGTAGATGTATCTCTCCTCATGTTTGCCCCCTTTGCCTCAATAATGGAGAGACAGCGGAGCACCTATTCCTGCACTGTCCATTAACAAGGAAGATCTGGTGTTTCTTCCTCAACTTAGTGGGGGTACAATTGGGTCTTTCCTGAACAAGTTTTGGATCATCTGCAACAGTGGCATTGCAAAGGTCTAGGAAGCAGGGGCAAGATCTATTGGAGCACGGTGATCCATGCAGTGATGTGGGGTGTTTGGGAAGAAGGGAGCATTAGAACTTTTGAAAACAAAACCAGGAAAACCGAAGACCTGATCTCTTATATTACTTTCTTATGCACCATTTGTGCTATTAATTCTGAAGTTTTCAAAGGTATTTCCCTAAATGACCTTCAGAGTAATTTAGCAGAAGTCCTCTAATCCTCTCTTGGAAATGTTTTACTCAAACAATTCGTTCTAGTGAGGAGGATCTGATAACTCTAAGTTTTGACGTAGTGCTCAAGGATCTATAGGTCAAGCAGGAATTGGAGGAATAATCCATAGGACAGGGGTGGACATCTTTTGGGCTTTCAGTGGGTTGACTGGGAGAGCTGCTGCTACCAAGGCAGAGATCTTAGCTGCTCTCACAGGTCTCTGTTATGTCAAAATTTTAGGCCTTTCCTCTCTATCCATCGAAGGCAGAGGAGCGGAGGACCTTGGAGGCTTGCTCATCTACTGACCGAAGCTAGAGATATATTGGTCTCTCTGAATGTGAAGTTAGTTTGGATTCCTAGGGAACTAAACACTGTAGCTGACAGCATAGCCAAATCAGGAGCCCATAGAGTTTCTATGTTTTCTGATACTTCTTTGCTTTTGTATTTCTGTTTCTGTCTCTAAGGCTCTTGTACTTTGTTAATTTTTCTCTGTTAAATTTTAATAAATCAGTCCATACTATTTTCTTGTCGCCCTCTATCTTTTCTGTTTTTGATACCACTTTCCTGCCTTTCCTTTTGGTAGGAGCATACTCGATCTGAAGGCGAGTTAAATAGATTACTTCAGCTGCTTGGGGAGTTGACTGATCCAGGTTATTGGTTTGATGGGTGCAGCAGAATCATCCTGTATTGTATTCGACACAATCATCTAAGGTTTGCTAGTACGATATACTTTCATTAGAATTTTCTTTTACGTTGTTCTGGTTGTCATTTTGTTTGTGTTTTTATTTTCATTGTTTATTTTTTGGGGTTCAGTTCTACATTTGACTTACTCAAGCAACTCAAGGATAAACATGGATCAGCTATGGATGCTGTTCTAGAGCAGGTTATAGTCTCATTCTCTCTTTCATTCGAAGAAACTTTTACCAAGTGGTTGCTTATAGATCATTTTTATCTCTAAGGTGTCTTTATGGTTCTTAACATTAGAAGGTCCTATAGTTTGGCAATTTATGAATCTATTTATTAATGTTGTTAATGTCTTTGTTATGGGTATTGGTCTGACCTGGAAAAAGCTGATTGGTTGTTTGTAATCTAACAATAGTCATTAGATTTGTAAGTACTTAGTACTGTATCTCTGCTTAAGTAGGTGTATGAAGTATTTAGCTTCCAGAAGTAACTGAATTCTTAATTTCCTTCATTTTTTTATTATTAGTTTGATTAATCTAATAATACCACTCTAGTGCAATGAAATGCAGGAATCTACTTTGGGAAAACTATATTAGATTAACCAAATTTGAAGTATAGCTAGCAAGATTATTAAAATTTAGAGTGGGATTTGGTCTAAATTGGGTAGGAATGTATCTGAATCTGATCCAATAAGAATCCAGAAGATCTGGATTAGATTTGGCATCTGACTGATATCAAATCTTGGAAACAGCCTCTCTGTACGTGCAGGGGTAAGGCTGCATGCATCTCTCCCTCCCTAGACCCTGCATTCATGGGAGCCTTGTGTCAAGGTTCAAAGTATCGATACACTTCTGTGTATCGGCAGAGGTGCATTGGTGCTTTATACAATGTGCTTTTTATATTTTTATTTTTTTCAAAATTTCATTTTTATAAATATTTTTGTGTTAATAAATAAAATTAATAGTTTCCTCAAAACACCTTTAAATAGGTGTATCATTCACCCACTGATACTATATGATACGCCTGATATGGGGCATATCATATCGAAATTTTGAACCTTGCTTCTGTGCACTGGGCTGTCCTTTTTTTCTGACTGATTTGTGAAAAATAGATTCAAATTCAATTTATTATGTATCCAATATCCAATTTGAATTTGATTCAATTCTGGATAGAGTATGCATAGAATTAGTATAAAACTACAAAGTTAAATGTAAAACAAGAAACAATATGTTGTAAATAAAAAATGTTTATCTAAGGTTTTAGTTAATAAAAATAGATTTCTTCATTACTTCTGAAAGAATACAATGAAGAAATTTTAGTTAATATATACAGATCAACTATAAACTGTCAGAAAAAAAATTTAGTAATTTGCTTTGAGTTAGAATTCTTTAAAATTCTGCTCTTCCAGAAGATGTGATGCTTTCTTTTTCTTTTTTGGGAGTGGTTCCTTGAAATCTTAGATTGAGAGCAGAGATTCTTTTCTTCTCTTAATGTATTAATTTCTATTTTCTTTTTTACCAAAGAAGCTTTTATTTTCTTTTGTTGTATTTTTCTAGAAGTCAAGAATTTTTGCATTGCAGAGGTTAGTTGTTATATTGTTTGTTAATTAGCAAAAAACTGAAAATATTTCCTTATTTAGTAAACCGATGTGATCTCACATCAGTCTGAGGTTACTATTGCACCAAGCAATAAACCCCTATTGTAGATATCATGGTTGAAAGCATTAATACACACGATATGCCCAAACATGTGTATTGGATGTTTTGGGTGATCGATACTTTTTTTATTTTTTAGTTTCATATTTTTACAGGGGGTTTATAATACTTTAACAACTAAAAACATCAAAATTTTCAAAAGCCTAAGGCATTTTGGTGACCCTCTGAAATGATACAATATTCCAGATGCAGGGTGTGTTGCAACATACTTTGAACCATGGTTTTCAAAACCGGACCGGACCAAACCCGCTTTTTTCCCCAAAACCGTTGATTTTGGTCAGAAAACTGCTGAACTGGCCGGTTAACCATTCAAATCGTCCAAACCGTTTGAACGGTTTTGACCGTTTTTCAAATTTTTTATTTTTTTGTCAGAACGGGCGAGCCATTCGGGTCAAACGGTCGGACCATTTGGACCAGTAACCGGACCCCTGACCGGTTCGGTTTTAAAAACCATGCTTTGAACCATGGTAGACATTAATCTCCAATGTAACTCAGTAGTATATCTGCTAGATCAATCTAAACCACTTTGTGCAGAAGAGGAAAAAAAATAGAACAGAAAATCTATAGGTTAGATCTGTATCTAGTCTACCCCTCCCAAGACCCCAGATAGCTGGGACCAAAATTGGGTAATGGTCTTTTATGTGCTAGACTGATTAAATGGCAATTGCTGTAAAATTTGTTATCATTTTTTTCCTTCAAGTAGTTTGAACTTCTTATTATCAATGATGGCTAGGTATTTTGTCAAGTCTCGGAGATGGAACCCACATATTTGCAGGTTGGGTTGGATATGCTCAAAGTTATCAAAGAACTTGACCTCCATCCTTCTCGAACAAGTTTGGATTTCCTTCTCAGTAGCTGTTTAAACGCCAAAGATCCACGAAGTGCTCAATTGATTTTTGATGAATATAAGAAAGTTGGTCTTCCATATAATGTATTAACTTTCTTAAGGTCAGTATTGTTGATGGCATCTTTTCCTTTTTTTCCTTCACCAATTTGTTGCTTCCGAAACTTTGAATTTTTACTTAAAGGACTTTTTGGAGATTATGGATGTCCATTTTTATTTGTGTGGTTTTGCTACTGTTTGAGAGGGAGGTGGATCATAAAGGAAATGTTTTAGATCTCTCATGTGCAGGCATACATTCACACCTTAACAAGTTTGATTCTTTGAATGTTGTGCAGGATGTATCAAGTACTTTTGGCTTCAGGAGAAAACAAGTCTGCTAAGATTATGCTGAAGAAAATACCACCAGATGATCCCCATGTACGCTGTATAATCAAGGCGTGCCAAGCAACTTATAAGAAGACCATATCTGTAAATAAAAATAAAAAGAAACGAGATAGTAGCCCATCCTCCAAACCCATAAGGCCATAACAGCTCCAGCCCCTGTTGAAAAATGTATTTTTCAAAATTATTGAAAAATGTATTTATTTCCTAGCTTCTGCCCCCATATTATTTTCTCACTGACTTCAAAAAAAATTATTTGAGGTATGATTTAATAACATGATTACGTGCTTTCTAGTTGGGGCATGAAATGGAGCGGGTCAATCTTAGATTTTTTTTTTGAAGATTTGAGGTCCTATTTACCCGTATTTAGTTGGTTACTTGGTTATACTGAAACACATTTTAAGACAACACTAACCAAATCTTACAATATTAATGTGATCAAAGCTTGACTGGGTATCTATCCCACCATGTGTGCATCAGCAACAAGGTTTAAACTTTAAAGCAGTGTTTTCAACCTAGTGTTGATCCGTTGAGGATATGTGTAACTTGTTATGTATCCATCGGATCTAACGTTATTATTATTATTATTATTTCAAACAAAAAAGAAAGAATAAACGAATCTCTCGGATTAAAGTCTTGTGACGTTGGCCTTGTCCATCCCAGTGAGCCTCTATTGTTCCTTACTGAGGAGTGAGGACTGTGGGCAACAGGCTAACTCAGTAATAATGTAATATTGCAAATTGCAATTACTGCAACTTTTTTGGCTCTATTTGGCGGGAGGATCAAGGTTCAAAGTATTATTGTAAGCATAGAAGTTCAAGGGAAAGATTATTTTGAGGATGCATCGTGATACACTTTGAAAGTTTGAATATCATTGGATATAGTAGAAAAAATTATATCAATACCACTATATGTGTTGCTTAAGTTTTAAGTAACTAAACAGCGCATATGCATTGATAGGGGGACACGTAAAGACCTTGTAATAATATTACTAAAAACCCATCAGCTAATACGTCAGCTCCCAATCCAGTTAAAAAAATTGAAATATATTTTAATGTTTTATCATCATCATCATATATTTTTATTCTTTATCATCACCACTTACGATATGTATTAACCGGTTAGCATGTTATTATTTATTTTATATTATTTCTTAATTATTAATCATAGAAAATGTATTCAATCTAAGTTATTGGATTTAGATCCTTGATAATGGTAAAATGTTCATAAATTCAACTATCCAAAAAACAAAATGATATGTAAATGCAACAGTTAAGTCAAATAGTCAATTATATTTTAGTTGTTGTCTAGTTCTAAAAATCACCTCAAAATTAGGTCAAGACGTCAAGTAAAAGTTAAATACAGACATCATATTGATTTTATAATTTTTAACTTCAAGAATTGAATTTTAAATGCTAAAACATTTTATATTAAGATTTATTTTTGTTTATGTAAGTTACCAAAAGCCAAGTCATATGGTCAACTTAATCTTAGTGTGCCAGCTAATATTCTTCAGACAATCATATAAGCCTCCGCATGTTTTGGCTCTAACAAACACCGCCCTAACACTTTTGAAAAATATATACAATTACTTCCTTTGGATCAAGCTTTCAGATGGAAGACGCTACATTCAGATATAAATTTACTAAAATACCCTACAAAGACCATTTACAAAAGGGTAAATCGCTAAAATCTCCTCTGAAGTTTGACCCCCTGAAATTTGATAATTGTATTCCATGAATTTTTGATATGGTTGCAACTGCAAGTAGACCTAGTAGAATCTTCTAAAAAGAGGCAAAATTGTCCAAAATACCCATGTAATTACTGTTGAGTCTGGTTTTTATAGAAAAAACAATACAAATTTTATAAATAACAACAAATAGAGAATTTAAAGTTGCAGCTTTGCCTTTGAATGATTGATATGAAGAGCAAATTTGAAAAATAAATCAATTTCAGAAATGAGATTGGAAGTGCTTTTGGGTTAGCAATTCATTTGAGGAGAAAATTTGGAAAATAAGCATTTTAGTCAAAAGTAACTGTATGGTTAGGGGTGAGCATTATTCGGTTAAAACCGAATTACCAAACCAAAAATTTCGGTTTCAGTTTGTTCGGTTTTTGGGTAATTCGGTTTTCAGTTTTGGTTTTCAGATTTAGAAATTCGATTAACCGAAAAAACTGAATTAACTAAAATTTCTTATATAATATATAATTTGTTATATAATTATATATTAATATATTATATATATTGTATTATAATGAAATTAAATTTCATAATATATTATAGCTTATAATATATAATATTATGTATATATTAATTAAATTCGGTTTTAACCAAAAATTTCGGTTCGGTTATTTTGGTTTTATTATAATTCGGTTTTCGGTTCGGTTTTCATTTTCAAAATTTGGTTTATTCGGTTCGGCTTTTAACCGAATAAACCAAATGCTCACCCCTATGTATGGGTATTTGAACATTTTCATGCCTCTTTCTAGAAGATTCTAATAAAGGGATCTACATGCAACTATGTCAGAAAGTTCAGGGAAGGTGATTGCAATTACCAAACTTCAAGGAGGTGATTGCAGTAACCTACTGGTTTAGGTTTTCTTTATTTTGTCATGTTCTTCCTTTCTTTTCCCGACTAATGTCAGATAGCGAAACCATATAAAACAAAAATCTTGGCCACCAAGTATCTTTCATCTCAGTGATTTCACGACCCCTTTCTCCACTACCTGAGCCTGCTAATTCTTATATTGTGTTAAATGTGCTCTCATTTGGGGATGGCGAGGGATGCAGTCTGCCAAACAGAATCAACAACCTTACTTGTTCCAGATTGGTTACTCTTTCATGATCCTATCTACAATATTCAGAGGCCCTTGTGAGAGTGGCTTCGTGGTTCAGGTAATGCCTGCAGAAGTAGGCCCTATGGTAGTGGGAATCAAACCTGAGACTGGGATACAAAAAGGATGAACAGAGAAAATGGAGTTTCAGGGGAGTAGACTAAGTGGTAATGGCTTCATGTTTCAGGTAATCTCCCAATGTTTTGATTCTAACAAAAATGCATTCTCCAGTCATGGAGTTTGGGCAGGGAGAATTGACTCAAATAGAGAGAGGACTTGCAAGGTAAAGGTGAATCTGGTATGATGGATAAATCTGGCGTTTTGAAAAAATTAATGCATTATATCAATATTTCCATCTTGAGAAGTGAGAGGGTGTTCAACAATATGATTGGTTTTGTTTCTGAAAACGAAAACAATTGAAAATATCCCATATAATGGAAGGAGGTAATTGTATGCTTTTTCAAAATTATAGGGAGGTTTTTGTTAGGGTCAACACACCGGGGAGGTTTATATGATTGTCAGAAAATCAAGGATAGATTTTTATATTTTGTCCCAAATTATTTTGATTAAAGAGCATTAGTCTTAATTTAAAAAGTAGCTTATACATACATACATACATACATACATACATACATACATACATACATACATACATACATACATACATACATACATACATACATACATACATANATACATACATACATACATACATACATACATACATACATACATACATACATACATACATACATACATACATACATACATACATACATACATGTATGGGGAATAATGATAGAGTAGACACAATCCAGATATAAATCATATGAAAATATGGAATTCATAAAGTTTTATTATTAAAGCACGTATTAGTAAATTTATGCAATACAGTAATCAAAGGGTTTGACTATGATATCGAAAATATATGATATCTAAAAGCTTCTAACCAATCAACTAGGATCATAAACCTAATAGCTAATAAGGTGTTATTTATCAAAATTCATGAGTGGCTTCAAGGTTCTAAATATCGATACGGGCTGATATGCCAGTAGGCGTATTAGCTTGTGTCGGTACATTTTTTTTATGTTTTATTTATTTTTTTGAAACTGGTTTAGAGGGGTCAGTTTAAGGCCCGACTACCCTCTGAACCGGTGGCGGACCCGATACAACCCTTAGAGGGGCGTGCTGGTAAGCTATTGGCATGATATGTATTGCCTAATATGGGCCGATACATATCGATACTTTGAACCTTAGGTGGATTTTGGTTGGTCAAAACTCTTCCTATATCATGTCTTTTCCGCATCATAGATTTTTCCATAATCAAAGGGTTTGACTATGATATCGAAAATATATGATATCTAAAAAGCTTCTAACCAATCAATTAGGATCATAGACATAATAGCTAATAAGGTGTTATTTATCAAGTTTCACTTAATCTAAAATTCTGATTGTTTTCATGTTGTTTTCTTTTCTTCATTTTTTTTTAGATATTACATCATTAGGTTGTTAAGATCTTGTCCACCAAGTTTTAGAGTAAAAAGTGTATGTGGAAAAAGGGTTAAAATAACTTAGGGGATGTTTGGAACCATGGCCGTCTTTCAAAAAAAAAAAAAAAACAAAAATGGTGCTATGTCGGATCCACATAGGCGTTTATTGAAAAATCAGGCATGCTTTGTAAATCAGGACCCCACCGATTAATGAAACGCCAAATTTGGCATTTCATGCATCGGTGAACTGTTTCCCCCAACAGTTGACTGATGTGTATCCTATGTGGTGCTTACCTGTGAACACATACATGAAAAGCAGTGATGAAAATCATCTTACCAAACAACATAGTATTGCTCACTATCTATGTGGCAGAAGCGATTTTTTTGTGAAAAACGGATCTTGGAAGCATGAATGTTTTTTCTTGAAAATCGGTCCCAAAAAGCATCCACACTTCCAAACACATCTTAAAAATTCTACTGTTGTGCTTCAATACACGGCGATACATATTGTCATACTGACATTCTGTCGCTACATAGCGTATAGAAAAATTAAGACATAAATGTTATAATTTCTGTTTTTGTTTTTATCCACCGACTTTTGTTTTTTGTTTTTGTCTTTTTTTTTCTTTTAAAGAGGTATCGATGGATATGTTGTTGGGAAGAAACCAAGTTTATCCACAAACTATTTCTCTCCCAAAAATAAAAACTTATAGATATTCAACTAGCACAATTCCAAGCAAGATATCAACCAAAAACAATCATAAGCCAAACAAAGAGAGAGACACAATATTTAACGTGGAAAACCCCTCCAATGTGAAGGGTAAAAACCACGGGGCCAAGAAGACCCAACCAAAATCTCCACTAATAACTTAAGGTAACAATTACAGCAACTCAAACACCATAATATGCTCACAAACTTAGAGCAAATACATTCTCAAACATACACACGAGAATACCAAAAGCTGTGAAAGGAACAGTCAGAAAAACTCACAAACGCGGCTACTGTTCAGGCC